ACCGTGGCGAAATTGTCCATGCCTCGGGGAGTCAACAGCCCTAGTTCACAAACTATACCCGCGATCGCTCTGGCGGTATAAGCACCGCGTGAGAATCCAAAAAAGTAAATCTTATCTCCCTCCTCGTAGTTATCCACGAGGAAGCCATAGGCGGCACGAACGTTCGCACTGATTCCGATCCCGGCGACACCTAGTAAATCAGTCAGAAACACCCATGGAACACGATCAGGTTCAACGTCTAGACACCGTACCTCCGAAATACTTGTCGGCTAGACCGGTCCCAACGCCTTTCTGGTAATAGACGATTTGAGGAATTTCTTTGTTCACTCCATTCTCTTCCACGACTGCCACGCGGCTTAGAGTGCGCGTCAACCGCGTCACATTCGACGGAGGTTCCTGAGAATCCGCTGTCGAGTCTTTCCAGGTTCCTGGGAGAACCGACCATTATTAGCACGTTTTTAGCTTCCTCCAGTAGTTCAATCGAACATACCATCGCAGCAGACAATGAGACGTTTAGGTGACATTTTGCATGTGGATAGCTGGGATTCTGTGGTTCGAGTGCACGTTTCACATGCTATTCCCTACGCCCATCATGAACTCCCTCGTAGAACCCCTAATCCATTTATTTAGATTTGACTAGACCTCAGCTGAGCCCCAGCCACCGTTGGGGCAGTCAGCCTCACATCATCTGCTATCGAACACGAGGTCTCCCGCAGACTGGGCAAGTTTGGACGAAGCCAAGATTCGTTCGTATCCAGCAGATGCTGGTGATCCGACGCGGCGTTCCTTGGCTGCAGCTGGTGCGGAGTGAACTCCTACAGCGCAAACCTCATTCCTCATCACGAGGAAAGTCAAATGTAAAACAAGGTATTGGGGTCATGAGAATCTGGGGTAGGTACAAATATGAACAAGGAATGAGAGGTTGGTTCGCGGAAGCCATTCCCACAAGGAGGGGGTGGCGTTGAATACGGATAACTTTAAATAGTAGAGTTAGCGGATCGACGAATACGAGGTTGACAGCCCTTCACGAGACGCTGCTTTTCAAAATAAAACGAAACGACATGAGGCGTTAGGCTATATCTATACACCATTCCGGTGGTGCTACGACGAGGCCTCTAAGAGCGCATTGAGGTAGAAGGATCCCTGCTTGCAGCGCCATGAGGCTCTTGATGTGCGGGATATATTGTCAATCCAGAAATTATTGCCCCCTTGGGTATCTCTTCCTCATAATTCCATTTAGGGCATAACACGGATGCGATGTAAGAATCCGATTACTTAAAATGCATATACCTTGCACTAAAAGATAGAAGTGGCCTGATCCCGTACAGTTGTCCACGTGAAATGTGTTGGCGTGATAATACACTACAACATAAGCTTATATTGGCTCACAGAAACCATGGAACGGACTGGAGGCCGACCGAACACCAAAGATGCAACACGGTAGACCGCTCCAGACCAGAAGAGATTGAATTGTAACGGTTATGAGGGCAAACGCGTGGTTCGTTCCACATTCCCCCCCTCGAAATTCCCCAGAGATATATTAGATCCATTGCACTTGGACTTAGCCTTAGCTCCTTTTAGCATCCAAACAATACTATATATATTCCAACGCTGCTACATAACTCATAAACACCATGCCCGTTAGAGATTACGGAATCTGGAAGGGATTTCCAGCTCACTACGAGCTGGAAGATCGCTTCGAGGACCCCAAATCCCCCCATCTCTCGTTGTACTACCATGACAATAATGCAAAAATGCCACAATTCGACCGTGACTACCGACACAAACACAAGGGCAATCCACCAAACAAGCAGAAGCCAAGGGAGATCCCTGGATTATTCCGCGCAGCTATCAACATCAAGTCCACTGGCAAGGAGTCCCGGCTTGCCTATTGGGTAAATCACAATATTGTCGAGCACCCCATCGCCAAGAAGCTATCTAATCTAGACTTCGGCTTCCACCCAATTGAAGAACTCACCGATTTCGATGGTAAAGGCCTGGACTTCATCCGAGGGAACCTCTTCACTACACAGAGCGGCCGTGTTCTTCCCCATGACATCCCTGGCACAAATAACGATATAATTGATGTCCTGGAGCCTGAGGTAAAAAAGGCAATTCACCACAAAGCTACAATATATCTATTCGGCTCTATGTTCAACACCAGAAACGGAATCCATAATGTTCACATGAACCAGGGCAATATTCCGCGCTTTGTCAAGGATGATGGCGTGTTTCAGGATGGCGGCCTTCTCATTGAGTACGACGATCACTGGACTGGCGTTTTCCTTGCATTCGCATCACAAGCCGCTCACACTGATGACCACAATGGACATGCTTTTGCAAAGCACCTCGTTACCTGGGCGGACGTTCTACCCAAGGAGATCATTGAGAATTCGGTGGCTATCAAAGAAGCACTCATCAATCCACGAGGCAGAGATGACCGGTCTGCCAAAGAAAAAGAGTTCGTCACGCTTGAGAATCTTACAAATCACAGAGTGGCCCTGGCATCATGGAGGTTTCATAATGCTGCTGGTCAAGTTCAAGCGCTCCCTCACAATGCAGCTTTGGACTCTCGAGCTATGAAAAGGTTCGAGATGTCAAACTGTCCTCTTTCTAATAATGGTGATACTATCACTCTACTCAATGAGGAGGGACTGAGGGTCGACGGGGTAAGCTATGGGGCTCGGCAGGGAGCGACAGAAGGTCGTCCGATAGTTTTTGCACATTGAGATTGAGGCGTTTTGCAGCCAAGGTGGGTACTTCTGTCTTTACAATGATGACAATGTCGTGAAATGTTAGGCTGGGGAGCGTTGAAAAAAATCTGTGACGCAAAACTACTTATCCATCTCATTTTTGTTTTGCGAAGTGCTGATCCAGACTGTCAAATATTGCTACTCGATGTGAAACTTACTAAGCTCAAAATGATAATTGTGGAAGCATATTGAGGGATATGGGTTGAGTAGCAAACTTTGCGGAAGGCCAAATAATCTCGTCTCAATTACTAAATATTTGTGGCGAGGCATGGCAGATGCCGTGTAGCGGCCACAGCGCGCCCTCCGTGGTATAGCGCTTAGATCGCTTAACAAGAAAACGTCGTAATAGGAAGGATTCTTCGCAAAATAGAGTAAACTATCCAAGCTGTCAATGATCCATGGTTTATGTGGCAAAGTTAGACTTCAATAATTGGCAGTGTGAATATGATTACAGTACGTGGTGTGTTCGGCAGCCTTATCCACTGGAGAGATAAAGTTTAAAGGAGTAGGCCACGGCTAGAATTCAAGATCGAACCACACCATGGTTTCTTGCTCCGGATAAGCATAGAACTCTAAGCACGATTGAGCCATATTTTACCGTGGGTCCCTGTAGTTTTGCTGTCCGCGGGAGTAGATTTCGTATAGCTAGTTTTTCTTTGTTCATCTCCTTCCAATGATGAAACCTCAGTACATATTTCTCCGCACTTGACACAGTATCGACGGTGAGGTTGTATTACAAGAACCAATAATGTCATTGTGACGGCTCTTGGATGGTCATTGGTATGTAGTTAGTAGGTACCCGCTTGCTGTGCTCTTACAAAACTGGGAAATTAGCCGGAGCGATGTTATAAGAAGACAATGCCCTTAGCATCTTAGTGCTTGTACCCCCAAACCCACTGTATATTTGTTTAGGGACCAGACTTACGACACGTACCATTACAATGCGGGCTTTCCTTCTTTTCACAATCTGTACGCTGTCAGTGCAAGCAGCGATCGCTTGGGGAGATGTTGGGCATCGAGCTATCGCCTACTTGGCTGAGAAACACCTTACTCCTACCGGCTCTAATCTCGTAAATGAGCTTCTCGCCAACGATAAAGGCTTTGATATCTCTGACGCCGCAACGTGGGCGGACACCATCAAGTGGAAACGACCGCTCACTAGACCCTTGCATTATATCAGTATGTTATACGAATAGTATATGGATCACTCACCATCTAATTTGGCTTCAGACCCAAATGACGAACCTCCAAATTCATGTTCCGTCTCATATCCGGATGATTGCCCTGCCGAAGGCTGTATCATCTCACTGATGGCAAATATGGTAAGTTGCCTGTATCCACAATCGTTGACACGAAATTTTTCTTACTTTCGTCCCTCTGCATCCTCGGTCTCTAACCCTCTGGGACAATAGACTCATCAAATCAAGGACAAGAAAGCCAATGAGACCCAGAAAAAGGAGGCCTTGATGTTTCTAATTCACCTTTTCGGGGACCTACACCAACCACTGCACGTCACGGGAGTGGCAAAAGGTGGGAATGATATTCGTGTCTGCTTCGATGCCAAGGCTCCGTGCGACGATGACAGCAAGAAATGGAACCTACACTCAGTCTGGGATACTGCCATTCCACACAAAATCAATGGCATAAAGCACAGTCTCAAACACAATCTTGAACGGCTGACGTCAGCGAAGTGGGCCGATAGACTCCATCAGGAAAACAGGCCGCGACCAGTTGATACCGAGTGTGCAAATACTCGACAACCCTTGAAATGCATCAAGAAGTGGGCGACGGAATCAAATCAGCTAAATTGTGATTTCGTGATGGAAAGAGGGCGGGAGTGGCTTGAGGAGAACGATCTGGGTGGTGAGTATTATGAGGTAGCTGCGCCTATCGTCGATGAACAAATCTTCAAAGCGGCTATACGTCTTGCTGGTTGGATCAATGCCCTCGCAGATAGGGCAGCGGCCGATGAATTCAGAGGCGTCCATCTTCAAGGCGATCTCTAGTGACGGGATATGATCTGTTACATGGCTTCTGGAAAAGTTGATTTTTGTTGTCATGCTCTAATGTGAGTAGGCTTGTACTGTAATAATATTATCAATGAAAGGGAAAAAAATATTCTCGGTATTGGTTGATTTGAGTGGACGAAAAGACGCAAATATGATTTAGGTCCTGATTAACTGAGGGGATTTTCTGGCTGAGTCTCGCTACTAGTAACTATATTTACCTCCTTGCATACTTATCACATCAACCAGATATATTTGGATTTCGCTCAAAATCCGGCAAAGCCCACTTGACCATCCACTCCGACTGGAGCACATGTCGCGCTTCCGGTTGGAACAGCAACATCCTGCGGATCAGATCCAAAAACGCGGTTCTCTCTTCCTCGACCACACCCCTCCACTTTCTCCTCCACTTCTGTATGTCTATGTCGAATGACTCTTCAAGGGGAGGCCATTTATTCTCCACGTATGCGTCTTTTGGATGCCCATCCTCCGTAAAGAACTTACCTCTCCCCTCCCAATGCAGCCACCACTCCCTAGGCATTGGTCCCAGTACATCGATATGTTGTGCCACGATTTCATCGTTGGGAACCATTTCAATACTGAAGAGAGCTTCCATTCCTATAACCTCCCATATCGCCGTAGCTAGGCTCCAGATGTCCGAACATACGCGAGCGGCTTTTGTGGCTCGAATCTGGCTTCTGGGGAGCGAAAGGCCGGAGGTGTGTGACAGTCTTGTCCGAGTCGAACCTCTGAGGCAGGAGCGAAGGCCTCACCAAAGTCGCTTAGAAGTGGACGTACATCGGCCAGCGTCATAGTTTCGGCGTATTTTCCTAGAAATAAAAAATTTACCGCTTGAGCTGGGATATTAGGTGGAAGCGGCCTTCCATCACAGCGTGTGATGGGAACTGTCTCGGGCTCGCCACATCTTTCATACAATTCTATTATGGAAAGATTGTCAAAGTTAGATGGAAGCTTGATCATGATATTGTTCAGGTGAATATCTTGATTCAGTAGGTTCGTAATTAGCTAATGGAGTCCACATGGCGAGAAGGATTTCTTGACCAACCTCCGTGTAAATATCCGTGCGAATGCGTGTAAGCAACAGCCTGTGTAAGTCCATAGCGCAACGCTCGAGCCACCTCAAGGGGAAAAAGACGACTGGAAGAGATCTCCCTAAGATTGCAGTGTGCGGGGGCTGTAATATAGCACGCATATGTCCCGTTCGGGCCTTGTACATCGAATTCGTCAAATACCACCGGTATCAGGCAGCGCCTGTGGGCTGGAGATGATGAGGGTGGCTTGGGCAGTGTCCTAAGTACCGTTGCCTCGCGTGGATGCGCGTCCGCTGTGTTGACTTTCAGTGCGACATATCGCTTGACGGTAGTATCTCGAGCGAGCCAGACGGTAGAGTAACCACCATGACCTAGTTTATCTACGATGCGGTACCGGCTATGAAGCACGTCACCGATCATAACCGGGTTGTAACCTCCAGGCTGATATTCTTCAAGTGTTTCCACCCCCCTGATCCAGTTGTACTCCACGCGAGCCTGAGGCTTTGTGGAACTAAGCCGTGCAAATAAGCCTGAGTGGGTCTTCTGGGGACAGCGGGGCAACCTGACACTTGGTGGGGAGAAACATGGTTGGCTAATAGGTGTTGAGGAAAGAATAGAGCGCCCAAGTATTTGGGCATGACACTTCATGGTCTGTTGGTATGGTGGATGCCGAATAGTGGTTCCGAACCTCTCCCTATGCATCTGACTGCTGGGTAGGAAGAAGGGTTCCGAACGGTCTGTTGCCGTAGTAATCATACATCACGTGAAGATGTACAGTCATACATATCATCGGTGGCTTACTTGAGGACCGTTCACAGCAAGTTCCATGATAGGTGGGTTAAGCAATGGAAGACTGGGCGTACGGCCGCGCCAACGAGGCGCCTGGTCAAGGCCCCTTCTAAGAAGACCCTGGAGCTCTACAAGGGCTTGCCAAAGGCGTACACATCGGTAGTCATGCAGATGCGTACGCAGAGGATCGGCCTCACACACTTCCTCTACAAGATCAAGGCGCAGGAGAGTGACCGATGCAGCTGCGGGGAAGGGTTATAGATCCCCAAGCATGTCCTTCTGGCATGCCCCTGCTTTGTAAGGCTGTGTAATCAGATATTTCATAAGATTGCCGCACACACGGATCTGGGGGATATGATAATTGATTATGATTTATTTATATCAGACCCGCAGGCGATCCGCTACATTGCTGAATTTATACTGCAAACAGGATTGCTTGGGTAATTTAACTAAGTTGAACTCGACCTTGGACCAGAGCTTGATCCAGGCCAGGAACACGTAGGCCTTAGGGCCATGGGGATAGATGCTGCAGATGCTGGGTAGGAGGCCCCATACATGCCCCGTATGAGTCAACGGGGAAGGTCATGTATATTAAAGGAAACAGGCATGTTGGAAGCAAGAATATGGACGAAGAACGAAGGGATGGTGGCTCGCAGGCAACTGGTCAGCCAGTTGCGACACTAGGTGATATCTTTACATTATTGTATGACTTTGCTTTACTTTTACTGTATTTAGTTGGGTTTGGCCGCGGCGACGATCTTCCTACGTCGCGGCATGCGTTGGTTAAAGTGTTTACTGCGAGTTTAAGGGGTTTGACGGCGTTCAGGGCCATATTCCTGCTTCAAACGGCAAAGCACCTGCATAGCTAGCATCTTACTTAGCGAGGCTCGATCAGGTATAAGAATATTAAATGAAAAAAAAAATGAAATGAATTTATAACTGATAGTAACGCTGTCAGAGTCTACACGGCTACGGGTCCTTTGCTCGGGTATCATGGAGACTCCGTCTACAGATGACCGAAATTGCCCATTAGGACTATACTTTTTATGATGATAGCAGCAGCTTTATATTTGGGATACCTGCTGAATTGGTTCTCAAGTACTGATCAAAGCTTTCAATCATGTATTATTAAAGATGGTTACAAGATACTGAATACTTAATGACACCATTCTAGAGTCTGAATTTACTAAAGCCACTCGCGGCTGGTCCTGTGCCTTCGACTGAGTTGTAAGATGCCTTGGGTGTCCTTCCTCCTAGAAGGAAAAGTCTGTAAAAAAGCAGGAAACCAATTAAAATTAGAACAAATATGACCTAAAAATAAGTGAAAGTCCTAAAACAAATGAAAGAACTGACTGTTGGAGCCAGTCATGATAAGCGATGTTGTGATTCGCCACATGCCTGCGGCATACTATGCTTGCCATTGAACAGAACAGACTACTAAGTCAACTTCGCTCCTATCAGCCGTCTTGTTAACCAAAGTGCGGCCTGTCATGTTACAAGTCCACTCCGTGTGCATCTTTCTCTGTACAGGCAGAAGTTAAGGGAGGAGAGTAAAGTCCCCAGACTCCGCGTAGATAGTATTGGAATCTGAACAGGAAGCAGCCCGGACGCGATAAGGACTAGAAGACACAAACTTCATGTCAGCAACTATTGGACACGCACCCCACGAACGGTACTCAAATGAAGTCTACCACATATGTTGTGCGAAGGGGGGACGGGCAACTTGGCGGAGGAATCGTCACACAGCCCCCACCATCAGTTGTGATGGGCGTCCGGCTGAGGAGATCGACGATCTGGGGAGGGAATTCCCTAAAGTTGGTAAGATAGAGGCAGAACTGTGGCGGATCAGTGCTGGAGAATGTAATTACATTAGCTAGGGCACTAGACCATGTTTCAAAGTTTTGAGTCTTTCGCGATACTTACTTGACCGCGGTCCAGCACACTTGCCATGGCTGGTTGCAGTGAACAGTGTCACCGGCAGCGGGCTTGATAATTGTGATAGCGCTGGCAGTCGTCAGAAGGGTGGCGATAGCAATTGGAATAAGATGCATGATGATGACAAAGATTATCTTGCTTTAAAGTGTGTTTTTGGGGGTCTGATGGATGTTGCATTGGCTTGATCGAATTCGTGGAGGGCCAGCCTTCTTATACCAGCCATGTCGACTCTCACGCTACCCTACTCGCTTACCCCGAAGGTTTGACTGGAGTTCGATCATGGCAGTCAAGGGATCTATGTCTAGTACTTGGCACAGCCACTCTCATCACGAGATGAGCATCTGTATGGACGGAGCGGAGTTGGATTCCCAGTTCGTGATCCTGAATCAATGCTTCACGAATTAGTTATTGTTGCTAAGTAATCAAATCTAGCATTTCATATGTTGCCTAAAAGTGAGTGAAACGTGAAGCCAATACGAGAAAAAAGGATAGTGGATGTATCCCATGATACCTCGTGTGATCTTCAAGTCAAAGTATGCTTTTACAATTGGCTAGTATACATCAGGCCTCCTACTCCAAACCTTCCTCGCAAGGGTATACGGACACGAGAGAATGGATTTGTTATCCGAGTTGCCTCCTTGGCGTTAACGGTTAATTCAAGAGAGCCATACTGATGTTGCTGACAATCGTATTGTATATTCAAGAGGTGCGCGAAAAAAAAGCAGATTCCGAATTTTACCAAAGCGCTGGGGATGTGTAACGTCATGTATAACTGCAACAATGGCCAGCATTTAACCTCTGCGACCAAGCGTTTTGCTTCAAGTCCAGGTGATGATAGGTGTATCAAAGCTTTGGACGACTAACCGTGGTCGTACGGCCTTCGGCTATGCATTGTCACTTGCCAAAACGCACCAATAGCATTATATTCCGATGTAAGATTCCATATGACAAGATCGATCCGTTTGAGTAATGGAGCTACTGCATTAGGCAGTATTACAGGAGATCTTCGTGAAACAGCTGGCGTTGATATGTCCCGTTCGTAATCGCCTCCAGGATTGGCACGCGTGTTTGAAGGATATTGGCAAAGGATCATACAAAATTCAATTGTTATACGTGTGATTCTAGTTTAATTGGCACAGGGTGGAGAACTAAGTTAATTGTACAATCACGGCTGGAATTTCATCTGCCGATCTAATCCATGGCGCTCAAGATACTCTCCGCATAATGGAAATTACCAGATCAATTGCTGTCTACTGGGTCTTTCACAGTTGCACCAAGAAGTGCGTGATCGGGGTCCAAACGGTACGCCGGGTGATAAAGGCTGGGCGATATGCGATAGACTATCTGTAAGGCATACAGCTATGACAGCTACGAACGAGATCATTAAATAGCCCTATGTTGTGGATATGAAGGTATAATAATCAGTGGCCCTTGGATAGCTACCCTGAAGGTGCTAGCATATTCTACGGTGATGGTGTGGAATAGGGTATAGAATGAGGTAAACAATTAGGCGGACTTGAGACAATGATGATAGGACGACATTGCATTATCTATTCAGGGATTTCTCAGTGTTGTCATGTTCGGGATAAATTAGAGGCCATGGTCGAGGTCATTGAATCATCTTGTGACCTCGGTCTTGGACATGGCTAATGAGTTTGCCCTTGGCATGTATGCCTAGTAGTACTCCGAATGCCTCATGCTGGAGAATAGCTCAGTTTTACGGGTTTAGAGTGCAGTCATACCTGCCACCCACATTAACCACCAAGGACGAATCGGTATCTCTCTGTTTCACCATAGTGTCTGCATATTTATACCCTTATCTAGCCAAGTATATGATCCCTAAAGGAAAGCACATGCAGAGTCATGTCGGAACCGCACATATCCTTGTTTACTCCCTACAGCGCCCGAGAAACGTTGGCTTCTTCATCTTCTGGAGGGCTCTGTTCACAATGTGGCTCTCCCTTATCCCCTCAATCATAACTCCGGATTATACCTGGCCAGCACCTGCTGTTACTACAGTCCAAAGAGTAACCCCACCAGTGCCCGCCGTACCGGGCGCCAATAGCAGATGGCTTTGGGGTAAAGCACATGGTTTGCTCTACCACTTCTCACGGTGCTACTGCTACCTGTTGGAATTATATTTTGACCCGCACATTATCCAGCTGCCGTTTGGACTCGTTCTAAAATGGACCGATCGGACGAGCGTGGAGGAGGTCATTGCAATGCAAATGGCTCGAGCAGCTGGTATTCCAGTCCCAAGAGTCCTCAGCTGCGGAGAGCACGTTACTCCTCACTTGACCCGAGAGGTCTCGATACTCATGACGAGACTGCCAGGCTTCAGTCTTATGAACTCCGATGATCCCTTGGAGGTTGCTGACGAGGGTCCGTGGCTTGAAGAACTGAAGACTTGCGTCCACGCTATGCGCGAGTGGGAACCACCAAGTCAGGATATTATCTGCTGGCCTATCGGAACGGCCCTCCGCAGCTCGCGCGTCCCTGACCACATCATGGGTCCTTTCAAAGACCACAAATCATTCTACCAGCACCTTTTTGCACCAGCATCTCAGCATGGTTTCATATCTGTTGATGATTACAATAATACATTCGCGACTGCGAAGAAGTTACAACAGCGCCCTTATAAAGTCAAGTTCACTCACGGAGACCTCAAAGCTCATAACATTCTAATCAATGAAGATGGGCACTTGGCTGGCTTTCTCGACCGGGAATCCGGAGGTTGGTATCCCGAATGTGGGAATACACGACAGCAATGCGCTTCGGGAAAGACAGCTGGTGGTATCAGGTTGCTATGTGGATGGGTGGTGATGAGTATCGAGAAGAGCTAGAATCAGACAGAGCGTTGAACCGTTTGACGGTGGACTCTTACATAGCTTTTTGATTGCGTTGCATACACAGAAAGCCAGACATAATGAGTACTGTACAGACACAGCCTACCAGGAAAATGGTAAACACGGGTCATGGCACTCTTCATGTTTTGTACGCTTGCCTTGTCACTATCAGTCATCAAAGCGAGAGTCCAGCCATCGGCTGCCCGCGAGTTGTTCGATGTCTCGGCGTGGAACGAGGCCCCTTTCTGCTTTTTTACACTCGGGACCCTTTTTTTGGCTTCCTTGGTATGAATGTGCTGCTCTACTACGTGACAACATATGCTATTATTTATGGAATGTCCTTCGCGCTTGCTAGTTACCCTCTACCAATCCTCAACGCCGCATCAGTAGTTAGTCGTATTATTTTTGATGCATGTAAGGTTCCCCCTTCCTTCACCCTTGCCACAAATGCTTATCTCAGTGCCTTTTGAGTAGTATGGAGCAGGTAAGACAGACCCAATGAATGTGTTAATACCAACGTACTTTGCCCTTGCGGTTCTATCCTTCGCGTAGGTTGGGATCGAAAACAACCTCAGCCTCATAGTTTTCACTTTACTATACGGCATATTTGCGGAAGGATTCATGGCCCTGCCCTATAGCATTGTCGTCAAACTCACCCTCCGTTGGCGTTGCTGGAGTCCGGATGGGTATGGTCAGTACAGTGGGTAGCCTGGCAATTCTTATTGGCACTCCGTTGGGCGGTGCTATTCTTAGTCATGGTGGCTGGATAGCACTTCAAATGCTTGGTGGTGGAACTCTTCTAGTCTCAAAAGTGAGCGTCTTTGTGAGCCGAATTTCCAAGACTGGGTGGCATTTTACTAGGGAGCTTTAATCAACATGGACAAGCTTCTTGGATAAATAATACAGTGCTTGGACGTTAATAGGTGGGTATATTTCAGCTAATACAGAGGAACCTATGAAGTTCTAAAGTTTACTTCGAAAGCCAAAAGCCACTTTAAATGACCTCACAGATCAATATCATCCATCGTATCGCTGCATACCGTAAGCATATATTGCTTTAGATTGATCAAATATTATCTCACAATACTCTTAACAAGGCTTCGCCGTAGATATGATATGCAGATTGCGTTGGAGGATTTGACTCCCTCGATTGTTAGACTAATGCAGACAAAAGGTAAGACAGATTCTGGGTGGATTTGAAACTGTGATCTATCCTTGGCTATACCCTAACTGAACCTTACTGAAAGGAACAATGATGTTGATACCGTATGGGCGAAACAATTTTTAGAGGCTCCAGACCGATCCACAGCCACATGTAAACATAGCATCGTCGCATTCATACCCTGCTAGGTAGATTTCTGAGATCCACGGCTATCTAAATCTCGGGAACCCGCATCTTACGATCTCCAGCCAACTTTAATGTAAGAGACTTTCGTGAGGGGCTATAGTAGGGCGGCAATTCCATACCCACCCACGACGGCTTGGATTTGATTATCGATCTTCGTATCTATTCTACATATGCTGTGTTTGATCAGGATTCCTCGGCGGGACTTCCTCAAAAACTTCTCTGTTTACAGAAAATATCTGCATTTGCTCTATATCATTCCTTCCAATGTTTGTTACATTACATACAACCACAGGGTGTGGAAAACAGGGCTTCCCGTCCGCTCAGCCGTACTTAAGCCACACGCCGGGAGGTTAGTAGTTGGGTGGGTGACCACCAGCGAATCCCTTCTGTTGTATGTTTTTGTGCGTTTTCCATATTCAAAAAACCTTAAGATATGGGTAGTAGTAGTACTGCTATTCTCTATTCCATCTGAATTCATCAGTTGGAAGTGTATATCAGATGTGAGTGAGTCTGTATACATTGCGGCGCTTATCGTGAAGCATTTTGCAAGGACCTGTATTACGCCTGGCAGCCCTCGTAAAGCTGACTACAAAGTGCGAGCGGCCTTGCTCCATCATCATAGGAGTACATATGAAGTGCAAATATATCACCAGGATTACATTGAGTCTTGTAGACCACAATTAGGGTTGGATTTATGAGACCATACGAGACATTATCGCGGGTAATCTAGAAGTATATACACTCGCACCAGGGTTGCGTCTCCACCTAACATGTAACTTCTCTTACGATCTGTTACAATCTCAGTTATCGAGGAATATGAAGCGAACTGGTTCCTGTGCTCGAGATTTTTTTGGTCGAGTCATATGCTGCTCGGTAGGGAAGTCCTCGCTTCCTTGCACAGTATAGGAACGAAGCTCTAAGAATATAATCTGCTTTTATAGTTGTGGATTTGTACAGAATTGAGGTTGAAAGATGTGTGCTGTCTTTTCGGTGCCTTCACAGCTAATCAGAACTGCAAAGAATTTTCTTAAACTCGATGTGGACTTTCAAGATCATGCTTTTGAAGACAGTAACAGTTAATATAAATCTGGATACAATTTGGGGTAGAAGTAACTACCAGCTGAAACATGTAGACAAAATAATGAATGAGCAATATACTGTTCATGCGCAGCACTGAATCATTTGCAGGTTTTCCATCCTTACATTCATCCCACGTAGAATTCATAGAGTACTCCCGAGATTCAGTTGCGGCAAGCGAGATACTGTGTGCACTTGATATTGTAGATTATGATTTTCTCAGCAATTTGTGAGATATATCAGCTTTCTGTATGCATTCCTCATATTCAAACTTGTTGAAAAGTCGTGGGAAATCAATGAGATACCCGTCCTTATAATACATCCGGCGTTCCAAGTTATTCCAGCAAACATCAGATCTAAATAATGACCAGAGGTACTATGGCGTACTTATCCGACTGCAAATGAATCAAGGCCGTCGTCATTGGTAAGGTTCGCGATATGGCCTGACTCGCTATACACCCAGGGGTCATCATTTTGTGCCATGATCACCTTCATCCCTTTTACGTCTTTTGATTTCACCCAAAATAGATGTATTGTTGGGACAGTAATCTCTCCGTCGCTAGTCTGACTAGACGCGATATATCGTTTTTGGTCTAGCAGTTAGTGCGCCGACAGGTTATGAGCCCAGTCAGTTCTTACCAGCACGTGATGCCTTAACCAGATCTGGAGACTTCGGGTTCGAGACCAGGCGTGGTTAACCTGGCTTGCTTTTCCCATGCAGTCTATCCAGTTCGAGGAGGTGCCTAA